TTTATACTCTTTTTCAGCTTTCTTGCCTCAATTTTCATGCTATGTCATTCAATTTGATGTCAAATTGTTTGCAATAGAAGGCTGTAAAGGAATATTTGCATATAAGAACACAGGTCTCACTTTTCTGTACCTTTGACAAACACTTGATAACTTTTCCCTCAGACGTGTTTTTTCACTGCTTTCATTACGGATTGGCCCTGCTCTTGATCACTATCCATCTTGAAGTCAATTTGCAGTGTTTATAAAACTGATAACAACAAATACCTGAGATAATATAACCGGAATGGGGAACTTTCCAACTCGAGGGGAGGCCGCGGCTGTCACGAGCGAGGTCACGAGGACAATGAGCCTCGGGATGCCATGTGGAGGTATAAAAAGAATTGGAAGATATTGGTGTGCATTTTAAAACAAGTCCCATATTATTCTGACAATAACTTGAATTTTTACAAATTTATAAATTAATGACGCTGTTTGTGTCATCACCCACTCAGCGTGTTTTGGTTTTATGCCGCATATTGCAACATCAGGACGCAAAAGTGTTAATCTTTCAAAGTCTACATCTGTGCAAGATGTAACCAAAGATAACAATATTAAGCTGATATGCTGTCTCCACTCGATTATCCGGACTATATGGGATGACCCAGCCAGATGATCACATTTTCTGGATTAGAGTACTTTTCACCTCTGAGTCCAAACGTGACCATTTCCAACTATTTTTATACTACAAACAACATAGTTTGAATTGCCTTGCCATATATAATTATTAAATATTCAACTAGAAATCTCAACTTGTTGTTTGTATTCTTGATTGATGCCACACATCTTGAAGTTAAGAATTCTTGACAATTTACGTAACCTATACTAACGCAACACTAAAATTAACACTTAAAATTATTGTACAGTTCATTAAGCAAAGTTAGTTTTGACTGCCAGCTGCTGAAGCCTCACTGGTTGAAGGCACTTGGCTTGCCTGTGATGCCTCACTGGTTGAAAGCGTTGGCTTGCCTGTGATGCCTCACTGGTTGAAAGCGTTGGCTTGCCTGTGATGCCTCACTGGTTGAAAGCGTTGGCTTGCCTGTGATGCCTCACTGGTTGAAAGCGTTGGCTTGCCTGTGATGCCTCACTGGTTGAAAGCGTTGGCTTGCCTGTGATACCTCACTGGTTGAAGGTGCTTGGCTTGATTTTCTTACCATATGAGAATAAAGTTTAGCTTGCCTTCTGAATGATCAGCTCTTTGGTTCGCCTCAGGTACTGATACATGTTTCTAACTTCTGGATTAGCACAGTTGGATGAAAAATTAATCAATCAATCCGTCAACATAGGTCATGATTAAACTGTATTTCATGGTCAGTGGTGTTGATTCTTCACTGCCTTCTTCATCCACTTCCTCCATCATCGACCTTGCCAGTAATAGACTGGAGAATCTCGTCTTCACGCATCACAGGTCATTCGCATCTCTTTCAAGCAAATCAACCACATCCTGTCTTTCTAAGTTTTCGCCAGCATTTCTGAACATTCCATGGATTTCATCTGTAAATCCTTCAAAATTCATTTCTTCATTCTCCTCATTGCTGAATGTAGACGTGAGGAGTTTTTTCCAGGAATTCTTCAAAGTCGATTCCTTTACTTCACTCCACTCCAAACCTAGGTCCAGTTATAGATGGCTTCCTTGATTGTATAGTTCTTCAAATTCTCAAGTTTTTTTTTTAGCCCTGTTATCCACACCGAGTTCCACATCATCCGGAAGGGGAAAAATCGCCAAAACTTCGTTGAACATCTTTTTGGTGTACAACCTTTTCGTGGCACATATAACTCCCTGAACCATAGGCTGGATGAGAGAGGTTGTATTAGGCGGAAGTGCCATACACATTATCTTGCCATCATGTGAGGTTAATGTGTCAATTCTGGTATGGGCAGGCGGATTATTAAGCAACAGCAAAGCCCGAACTTCGCTTGGCAATACTTTGAGTTTCTTAAATAAAATAAATAAATAAATAAATGTTTATTTAGGTAAGGTACATACATACAAGAGATTTTACAAAGTTTGTTGGATTAATAGATAGAGCTAGTACATACAATGCCTACAGCCACTATTACGCAAAGCGTTTTGGGCAGGTTAACTTGATAGTCACGAACTTCCCTGCAAAACACATCATGAAACGAGGAAAGAAAGATCTCGGTGTAAACCATGCATTCTTTGAGTTATATTTCACAGGCAGTCTGTCCAAGCAATGTTGCAAGGCTCTTGGTTTCTTTGATTTGCCAAAAATTGCACACGTGATTCTGCCTGTGCCGTTGGCATTCGCGCACATCATGGCCGACAGCCTGTCCTTGTTAACCTTATGGCCTGGTACTCAATCTCATAGCTAGATTTTTTTCTGGTAAACTCCTCCAATACAGCCCAGTTTCATCAGCATTATAAATTTGATAAGAATATAAATTATTTGACAAAATGTATGTTCTTAATTTACGTTTAAATGGTTCTACACAACTTGTATCTGCACTCAATTTTTCACTGACAATTTTCCTTTTCACAATATTTTGCCTCCCTTTGAACCTTACAACCCACTCTTCACTAGCTTGGAAATCCTTTATTCCAAGGCTTGCTGCAAACCTGCTTGCAGCATTTTGTATTTCTGGGCCGCGAATTGTCACGCCAGCTGTGCGGTGCTGAGCAAACCACTTGTACACAGCCTCATCCAACTGTACATGCGTCGAAGGTTTCAGTTTTTCTACCACACCCTCTGCTAGTGCTTGCACCTTCACTCTCACTGGTTGAAATTTATTTCAGATATTGATCTTTTTGTTTCCTTATATCAGAAACAGTACTAGTGCCTATATTAAATTCCTTGACAACACTTGAAGTTGACCGGCCATTTTCACAAAGTTGTATAACACATAACTTGTCTGTAATTGTTAGGACAACCTTCTTCCTTGTAACACCTTCAGAACGTTTGATACTGCTACCAGACATAGTCTTGGTCAAAAATGTTCAAAGTTACTATGAAAATAAAAGTTATTTAAAAAATATTTCGCTAATGGGGCGGCAACTCACAATATATTTGAAGGAAACTTCAGCCAGTGCAAAATTGTTTTTGGGAAACTTGAATATTTATTATTACATAATTACTAGTATTTCTTTTGATTTTGGCTATGATGAATTGTTCTAAAATTAATGGTAATTCCTGTACTGTAGTGTATAGGCCCCTCCACATCCCCCATATCTCCCCCAGGTGGTCCCTCCCAATGCTCCCCTCTCTCCCGACACCACCCACTCCCACCCCCTCCATCATGCGCCTCGAGCCACAGCTGTATGGGATTAATACGGTACGACCTGCCACCTGGCTTTCATATTCGGTCAAGTCACCGCTTGTCCGGCTGACTGTCCGGATTGCATAACATCGTCAGCATGTTAACCGTCTCAGATTTTTTATCCGGCCAAACACCTGCTGGTCCGGCTCCCATGGACATTTTGGCCAGATAGTGAGACAATTGTATCCGGCCACGATTGTAGCCGGATAAGGGCGTTTTCCGGATGGTTGGATTCCGGATAAACGAGTGTCTATAGTGGTTCCAAAAATTAGGTAGTTCCCCCCCCCTCCAAAAAAAAAATGGGTTTTGTAGGAGGCATTCTACTATAAACATCCCTGCTTAGGTTTGAACTTACCATCTGTGGGACATTTGCCTCTAAATATAGCATACAAAATTATGGTCTTCAAGATATAAGGGCAATTTTTTATTTGAGGGATGATTTGTATCATTTTTAGCTTCAAGCATGTCTGTTGTAGAATGGAGGATGCAAATATCCTTGGACCATGTATCATGGTAGACAGGAGCAGCCCTTTTACTTTTCACCAGAGAACATGCCCATTTCTATCTGTCCTGAAATACGTTCTCGGGCAGCACTTGGCCTTTCTTCCTATCTACCTACCATGTTCTACTGTCATTCCCATTGAGTCCAGCTTGACCTATACCTATTAGAAAGGTACAGTAGGCACAGGATATATTGTATGAACAAAAGTTATCTCTTTGGGCTGGTCTTGGATTTGAGGCTGATGCATATGTTCCATAGATCTTCCAACAAATCTCTGTTGCTGTATTCATATTCCAATTTAGAATGCGTCTTTTTTATTTAGTTAATCTTAAAAATTTCCATTGTGGAAAGTTGGTAGTTTTTCATATAGTACATTCGTACTATATAGATGAGTACATTTTACTGTTTTTTGTGCATCCATGTAGTACTGTATATTGTTGTTTCTTACACTATTTAATCTGTAAGGGGTTAATACCGAAACGCTTTGCCCTGCCCGAAACGCTTTGCGTAATAGTGGCTTTAGGCATTGTATGTACTAGCTCTTATCTATAAAGCCAACAAACTTTGTAAAATCTCTTTATGTATGTACCTTTGCCTAAATAAAAATTATTATTATTATTATTATTATTATGTTTTTTTTTTTTTTTTTTTTTTTTTTTTTTTTTTTTTTTTTTTTTTGAGATATATACAAGAGTTGTTACATTCTTGTACAGCCACTAGTACGAGTAGCGTTTCGGGCAAGTCCTTAATCCTAAGGTCCCTGGAATACGATCCCCTGCCGCGAAGAATCGTTTTTTCATCCAAGTACACATTTTACTGTTGCGTTAAACAGAGGCTACAGTTAAGGAATTGCGCCCAGTAAATCCTCCCGGCCAGGATACGAACCCATGACATAGCGCTCGCGGAACGCCAGGCGAGTGTCTTACCACTACACCACGGAGACTGTAAATATTACTGTTTAATATTAGTTTGTTAATGTTCAAAATAGTTTACAGTACTGAAAGCTATGATCTTCTGAGATTGGACTTCAACAGAATGTGAATGGTTTGTCAGAGTATCAATGGCATGGGCAATAACAGATGTATTTGGGTTTCAGTTTAGACTATCTTAAAACCTTTTCATATTTTAAGGCTTAAAACACTTTGCATTCATCCACACTTTATTTTCTTGCCTGTTTATTCAACAGATTATCTGCTGTCCAATAACCACGTCAACTCTATTATCGTCCACAAGTTTGACTTCAGTGATGAAGAGGTCATGGCTTACTACATATCCTTCCTCAAGACCTTATCACTTAAGCTCAATGTCCATACAATTCACTTTTTCTATAACGAGGTACAAACTGCATTCTCATTTTATTTTAAGTTTTCCTATAATGAAATCAGTTAAAAATTTTGGTGCATTAGTATATTGTTTTCCTATTACAATTTATAATCATGCATTTATAGTTTCATAAGTACTAAATATTGTTTTGAATATTCTTCAATGAATATTAAACCAATTCAATAGCTTATTGCTCTGGTAATATAATTTTGTTTACTACTTTCAGCACACAAATGATTTTCCTTTGTATACTGAGGCAATCAAGTTTTTTAATCATCCGGAGAGCATGGTGCGGATTGCTGTCCGAACACTAACACTCAATGTATATCGGGTCAATGACCAATCAATGCTCCAATTTATACGTGATCGAACTGCAGCTCCATACTTCTCCAACCTTGTTTGGTTTATAGGCAATCATATACTAGAACTGGAGAACTGTGTACGCAGTGATGTTGAGTAAGTAGAATGTTGGTATTGATTTTTTTCAGATTTTTCTGTAATAATCTTGAGATATTTGGTGTAGAAGAAATATATATTGAACTTGGCATCATCAACAATTAAGAATCATTAAACAATAATAATCAGTAATAACCATCGTCAATCAACAAAATATTATTATTATTAGTATTAGTATTATTAGTAATAAATTGTCATCTACACTTCCATGGCAATAAACATTTCATTCACCTGGTCTCTAGGAGACTCAAAGCGCGGACCCCAGGCATGATTTATGTGGTGTGAGCATGGATCACTAATTCCTCTGAGCTTCAGTAGTAGTCAGGGAAAGTAAAAATTCCAGTTTGACAGCAGTAGTTGCTTCTGGAAACTTTCCTTATTAAGACTATTGTCTCCACTCGATTATCCGGACCAAATGGACCCCCAGCAGGATAATCATGTGTTCCGGATAATGGTACTTTTCCACCTCTGAGTCCAAAAGTGACCATTTCCAACTATTTTTATACTACAAACAACATAATTAGAATTGCCTTGCCACATATAATTATTAAATATTCAACTAGAAACGACAACTTGCCTTGTTGTTGTTCGTCGTCTTGATTGATGCCACACATCTTGAAGTTAAGAATTCTTGACAATTTATGTAACCTATACTAACACAACACTAAAATTAACATTTAAAATTACTGTACAGTTCATTAAACAAAGTTAGTTTTGATTGCCAGCTGCTGAAGCCTCACTGGTTGAAGGCGCTTGGTTTGCCTGTGACGCCTCACTGGTTGAAGGCGCTTGGTTTGCCTGTGATGCCTCACTGGTTGAAGGCGCTTGGCTTGCCTGTGACGCCTCACTTGTTGAAAGCGCTTGGCTTGCCTGTGACGCCTCACTTGTTGAAGGCGCTTGGCTTGCCTGTGATGCCTCACTTGTTGAAAGCGCTTGGCTTGCCTGTGACGCCTCACTTGTTGAAGGCGCTTGGCTTGCCTGTGACGCCTCACTGGTTGAAGGCGCTTGGCTTGATTTTCTTACCATATAAGAATCAAGTTTAGCTTGCCTTCTGTGTTCATTGGTCTGTTATATGATCAGCTCTTTAGTCGCCTCAGGCTTCACTTCATTTGAAGTCGACTGACCATTTTCACAAAGTTGTATAACACGTAACCTGTCTTTAATTGTTAGGACAACCTTCTTCCTCTTAACACCTCCAGAACGATTGATGCTGCTACCAGACATAGTCTTGGCCAAAAATTTTCAAAGTTACTATGAAAATAAGAAAGTTATTTAAAAAAATAGTTCATTAATGGCATGGCACTGTGGTATAACACGAGGGACGGGAGCGCATGGGTTGACCAGGATTGAACGGGTCCACTTGGGGCACCTATGACACATTATTTAGGCCGCCAGGAAGAAAAAACTCACAATATTTTTTAAGGCAACTTCAGCCTGTGCAAATTTTTTTTAGGAAACTTATATATTTGTTATTACATAATTACTAGTATTTCTTTTGTTTTTGGCTGTAATGAATTGTTCTAAAATTAATGGTAATTCCTGTACTGTAGTGTATAGGCCCCTCCACATCCCCCTTATCCCCCCAGGTGGTCCCTCCCAATGCTCCCCTCTCTCCCGACACCACCCACCCACCACACTCCCTCCTACATCATGCTCCTTGAGCCATAGCCGTACGGGATTAATACGGTATGGCCCGCAGCCTGGCTTTCATATCCGGACAATTTGCAGCTTATCCGGCTGACTGTTCGGATACTGCAACATTGGCAACATTAAGTTAACCGGCCCAGATTTTTTATCCGGTCCAATACCCGATTGTCCGGCTCCTATGGACATTTTGGCCGGATATTGAGACCTTCATCCAGTCATGATTTTGGCCGTATAAGGGCATTTTTCCGGATATTCGAATCCCTGGTAATCGAGTGGTTATAGTACATGTACTCAATAGCTCGGCCGATAGAGCTTTGGCCTCTCACACGTGGGGTTTGTGGTTCGAGTCTCCAAGAGTCCAGGTGAATGAAGTATTATTATTATTATTATTATTATTATTATTTGGGTATTTGAGAATATTGTGTAATGAATATTGATGAATGTTGTATGACAGCCTGTGTGGGGTAGCCTGTGAGGATGGTAAAAATAAATCTTCAAATTAATAAGGATACTGGAAAGTATTGAAGTATGGTTGCAGTGGAAGGTGTTTGTTGGTGTGGACAGGCAAGTACTGTAAATAGAAGTGAATAAATTCCATAATAACAAGTTATGATGATAATAGTAATACAGTAATATAATACATAAAAAGAAAATTGTATTAGAGGTTACTGTGTGTCCATACATGTTGTGTTGCAGTTTTGTTCCAGTCCATAGGAAAAGAGGTACAATCAATACATGGATATGAACACAGCTTTATGCCCCTTTCATAGTTTAAGTTTTCTTGATTTATATTATTGAAACATACTCTTGGAGTCATAGTAACTAGAAGGAATTTTGAAATGGAAATAATACTCAGTATATGAAAGTGATGGACAATTAGAAAGTATTGCTTGGAATTGATGGCATTAATTGCAATTTCTATTATATATTAAGTACAGTGTAAGGATAGTGGTGGAACAGGGCCTTTACTAGCTCATAATATGGGTTAAATGCTATTTTAAGTGATATTGTTGATGTATATACAGTATTGCAAAATTGACTTTGTTTAATACTTAAATCATCATGGCAGTCACAACAGTCGAAGTCGTCTGGCAGATTTAGTTGCAGAGCACCTAGATCATCTCCACTATCTGAATGATATACTGAAGCTGGATATAAAGACTCTTAATGCTGTGCTAGCTGATCACCTGTTGAACAGGCTCCTCGTTCCTCTACTTGTGTACTCCCTCAATCCTTCTCCAGACAAGGTGAGTTCTGTCACACACTGTTTTTCGAATGTTTGTAGATTCAAGTCATACTTGTCTCCAAGGCAGAAAGTTAATACACAATTAAGCCATTTTCTTTTTCACTGAAGTTACATAAGAAAACAGCTTTGCAAATTTAAATGATTTTCCAAAATGAAAGCTTCAGAATGATCGGGGGAACTTTTAATTATAGACATTATGGGTTTTATAGCACACTTATGAAGACTTTTAGAATTAACTGTATTTTTAATTTTGATGGTTTGGTTCTTGGGTTAACTTTTAGCAACACCTGAACCATATTTTTAAGAATTGTTAGACAAGCCTTGTACAGTAGTCATAATTATAATGTTCTGTAATATTGGGATTTGTAGCCTAATATGGAACCACTTGGTAAATTGGGTATCTTTCTGTGGAAAGTCCCTTCGGCTTCCCGGAGCTATACAGGGCTGATGTGTATATATTAGACCTTGGCTACAGTCAATTGATGGAGTTCTAGGTCTACCAGGGACCAGTGCCAGAACCTGGCCACTTCAGAGAGGCACGAGGAGCAATGGCCCATTAGACACCCATGTGTAGTTGGAAGCAATCTATATCTGCCATCTACCAGGTCAGTCACCGAGAAAGGTAGGAATCCCAAAACAAACTACAGCTGGTGAAAAATTGCTTACCGAAAGACGAACGAGCAAGCAGAACTCCTCAATCGGAAAACAAGCAAACATGCATGACGTCAACATAGCCGCTGCGCTGCTGTCTGCGCAGCCTTCCTGCATCGGCTACCCGACCCCAGTTCAAAGGCTGTTGTGTTTGGTGGTGGTCAATCGACTCTGACTCCATCCTTTTGAACAGTGCTGTCCATAGTTGTATTGTTCTGTGTGGTGGTGTGCAAGCCAGGAGTAACACAAGAGTACTGGGGCTGCATGTGCCCAAGGCCACCTTCCGTAGGTGCCCCGTAAGTACTTCCCTTGTGGTTTAGGATTCTCTTCCATAAGCTCTTCGGAACACTACCTCCACATGGTTCTTTTTCTGCTCTGTGATTGCCCGCCTATGGGTCAGCTGGGGTTGTTCTTACTCCTGTTTGCCCTTGGGTAGGAAGTAGTATCATCTCTGGCTGGGGCACAAGGTACTGTACTGTGCAGTTGTGTGATGTGCGCATAGCGGCTGGTTCTGTGGGAAAACTTGACTCGTGTAAATCATTTAAATTAATACTATTTTTGATAGCTATGAAAGACCACTACTTTGTGTGAATAAGTGGAAAACTAGGTAGAGCAAGTGGTTTGATATTAATTCCATGAACTAGTGTTCTGTGGATGTTCTTAATTAATAATACTTTGAATATTAAAAGGACTGTATATTATGAGTCAAATTCACTCACCCAAAATGGGGGGTTACATGCCAAAAAATTAGTATATCCCAAGCATGATTTCAGTGCTGGTTTTTTACTGATGTAACTAAATGAAAATTAAATGGATTATATAAAAATAATTAGAGGCAAAGGTTCCTCAAGATACTACAGTAATATGGTAAAATATATAACCAAATCAATGGGTTAGTAGTATTGATCTCATTAGGAGATAACCCTTTAACTGCGCAACGCGCCTGCAGGCCCACATCTGGGGTGCGCTACGCGCCTCTGAGTATTTGTATTTTTCACATTCCATTCAAAACTCCCGTGGCTACATGGGGTTCACGTCAGCTTCCTCAGGGCTCTTGTAAACAGACACCATCTTTAAAAAAAATCGTGGTTCACATTTCCGGGTGTGAGAGCCTCAGTAGTTAGTGAGCAACCAAGGCTGGTGCTCGCAGCATGAGCGCACAGCACTGCTGTTCAGCGTGTGACCACAGCATTGCCTAATGTTGTCAAAATATATATATAACCTGTATTATTTAGCCATGATAGTATTATAGAAGAGCCTGAGTGTGATAATGACTGGGTACAATGTTCAAATATCAGTGATTCAACGCTGTTCACGATGTTCACAGCGCTAGCCACGGCACCACAGCATTATTTCGTCCATCTAGGAATCTTCAAAGGACTTCTTTGGTTCCTTTTCAAAATAAACTTGTGGTCAACTATTCATTTACAGGAATTAGTGACCAGGATTGTGGTTATAATTAGTGTTGTGCGTAGTATTGTGGAAGGAGGAATTTTGGTGAGGAAGGGAGAGAATTGAGGTGGCCTCACTATGTGTGGCAGCCACTTGTTTTACTCACCATACAGTACTAGCTTCGTGGTTCGCTAAGGGGAACACACATGTACAGTGGTACCTCGGAATGCGATTGTCCCTGTATGCGAGGTTTTCGGAAGGCGAGGTGTATTTACTCCAAAAATTTGTCTCAGAAGGCGAGGGTTACTTCGGGAGGCGAGTTTGGACGCGAGTTTGTTGATACGCGTACAGCCGACCTAGCGCGTTCGTCGCCCCTCCGCCCCGCCGCCCCTCAGTTTATTATTGTCTGGCGCTCAGTGACTACCCCCACATCAATTCTTCTCGCGGATTTTCAGTGTTTTGTTGGATTTTTGGTGATTTGTCTATACAATTTGTTATTATATATCTCACCATGGGTCCCAAGAAAGCCGGTGGTAAGGATAAAGGCCAGAAAGCTCCTGTGAGGATGACAATAGAGGAGAAACAAGAGATCATTCGGAAGCATGAGAACGGTACACGTGTTGTTGAACTTTGTAGGCAGTACAACAAAGCCACATCAACAATATGCACTATACTTAAGAAGAAAAATAAGATTATGGGTGCTAAAGTGGCAAAAGGAGTAAGAACATTAACGGCACAAATACCACAAATACTTGAAGAAGTGGAAAAGTTGTTATTAATTTGGATACACGACAAGGAGTTGAGGGGTGATAGTGTTTCGGAGGCCATTATTTGTGAGAAAGCCTGGGTGTTGCACGAAGACCTTCTAAAGAATACCCCTGCAACGAGTGATGCAGATAAGAAAGAGTTTAAGGCAAGCAGGGGCTGGTTTGAAAAATTTAGAAAGAATCCATAGTGTTACAAGGCATGGGGTTATGTGATGTGATTATGGAAGGGGACTCCCCTTCCAAACAGTAACTCCTCTCCTCCTCCCCCCCTCCTCACCATCTTCCATACGCCTACAGCACTCGACAGCAAGGTAAATAATAACTGGAACACAGTTTTGTAGGTTTATTTAGATGAATTAGGTAAATTAGGTATAAAAATTTAGTTTGATGTGGGGTTTTTGGGGTAGTCAGGAACGGATTAATTCATTTCCCTTTATTTCTTATGGGGAAATTAACTTCGGAATGCGAGTTTTCGGAAGGCGAGGCGTCTCCAGGAACGGATTAAACTCTTATTCTGAGGTATGCCTGTACATAGGTATATACAGTGTGTGTGTATATAGTGTAATAACAGCAACAGGAGTATATTGAGAGGAGCTATTTTGGTGAGGGAGGTGATGTCGTAATCGTAGCGTCGTCTGCTGTGTGATTTCTCATGTAGTGTATGGTAGATAGGTATATATGTAACATGTGTAAATAGAGTAATAAAAACTAACAGTATGGTGGGAGGAGCAATGTTCGTGAGTAAGATGTTGGAGTGAGGGAGGGCTGGCCGGGTGTGGATGCTCACACTCGAGGTGTTCTGAATGTGTTGATGGTAAATGTGTATAGTGTGTACATATATTGTAAATATACATAAACATGAAACATTGGTGTGAATAACTGTATGATGGGAGGAGGAATGTTGGCGAATACAATGTTGGAGGAGTGAGGGAGGGAGGGCTGGCTGGGTGTGACAGCTCACACTTGCAGTGTTCAGAATGTGTTGATGGTGAATGTATGTAGTGTGTGACAGTGTATAGTGTGTACATATGTTGTAAATATACATAAATAAACATGAAACATTGGTGTGAATAACTGTATGATGGGAGGAGCAATGTTCTGAATGTGTTGTGGAAAATATTGCAATATTTTCCACTGTAGTTGTTAATTCACCTAAATAAGAGAGTTCAGTAAGCAGTAATATGCTGTATAAATAAAACAACTAAATAAACGATTATCCTTAGTAAAAGAAAGTAATCAACTGGACTCTGTTTAGATTCAACTAAATGTGGAGATATTTCACGTTTCAAATTGCTACTGCCTCCCGGCGTCATGGAGACCGTAGGAAGGATTTGGTAAAATACTGCGTCGTAATAGAAACATTAATTAGATTAATTTTACGAATTAGTAAAATTTGTACTGTAATTACTATGGTTATACAATAAGGATGTATTATTATACACAAAATAATGTATTAGTGTTGGATAATTTCCAACAGGTTCTGTTCCCCTGGAAATGTGCTTTTGTGGGGGTTTTCTTTTGTGAGGGTGGAGCCCCTTCAGCTCTCCCCGGAGCTATCCAGCCTCTTATTGGAAAATTGGACTTTGGCATCAGTCATGTGAATGGGGTTCTTAGGCCTACCAGGGACCACAAGCCAGAACCTGGCCCCCTCACAATAACACGAGGAGCAATGGCCTATAGAAACCCCCGTGTGGTTGGAAGCATTCTATGTCTGCCATCGACCGGGTCTGGCACCCAGAAAGGTAAGCGCCCCAAAACAAACCCCTATTCTGATTTAGAGGTTGCTACTGAAAGTCGAACTAGTGGGCAGAACTTCCCCAGATAAAAATGAGCAAATGAGCATGACGTCACCACGTCGCCTCGCTGCAGTCTGCTCGGCTCCCCCCCTCCTCGGGAGGGGGAAGGGGGAGCCCCAAATCCTTTGTGCTGACTACCCATACCCCAGTTCTGAGGCTGATATGCTTGGCTGAAGTTGTGTGCTCTGGCTCCTGATTTGTCTCCAGCTCTGTGCCTTGTTGGTGTGGGGGCTGTTCCTTGGGGGGGGGGGGGATGCGCAAGCCAGGAGTATTCTCTTCAGTACTCGGGCTGCATGCGCTTAGGGCTACCTTCCATAGGTGCCCGGTAAGTACTGCCCATGGGGCTTGAGGCCACCTTTCACAAGTTTCTTGGGTTCTACCTCTGCTTGGTCGTT